CTCACACTACACAGACTGTTACATGTCACTCCGGACTACAGTTCCCATTATCCATTGCACTTACACAGCTGAATTCACTGATCACACAGCCGTCACTATCACAGGCTCACCTGAGAGCCATTACACACTCAATTTAACACTCTCTCAGTTCCTGTTCAGATCGCCGTGTATTGTTCTGCGTTTATCACTCATCTAGCGATAGCTGCATTACCAAGCCTAGTGTCTTGTTTTTTTCATCTTGCCTCGTCTGTTTCCCCGTGTTCTGCTCACTGCCTGTGTACCTGGATTATCCCTCGAGTCTCGCCCAATTGGATACTGTTCGCCCCTGCCTGGATCTTTGCCTTGTACCTGGATTATCCCTCTTGCCTTGCCATCAATATACCTGTTTGCCGCACTTACACAGCTGAATTCACTGATCACACAGCCGTCACTATCACAGGCTCACCTGAGAGCCATTACACACTCAATTTAACACTCTCTCAGTTCCTGTTCAGATCGCCGTGTATTGTTCTGCATTTTCCATTTCCCAAGTGTTAGCTGCCTTACAGAGCCATTCCGTGTTTTCTGTTTTAGTCTCGTGTATTGTTCTGCATTTTCCACTCCCCTAGTGTTAGCTGCCTTACCGAGCCATTCCGTGTTTTCTGTTTTAGTCTCGTGTATTGTTATGCGTTTATCACTCATCTAGCAATAGCTGCATTACCGAGCCTAGTGTCTTGTTTTCCTTGTTTTCATCGTGTTCTGATCACTGCCTGTGTACCTGGATTATCCCTCGAGTCTTGCCCAATTGGACACTGTTCGCCCCTGCTTGGACCTTTGCCTTGTACCTGGATTATCCCTCTTGCCTTGCCATCAATATACCTGTTTGCCATCACTCATCTAGCAATAGCTGCATTACCGAGCCTAGTGTCTTGTTTTCCTTGTTTTCATCGTGTTCTGATCACTGCCTGTGTACCTGGATTATCCCTCGAGTCTTGCCCAATTGGACACTGTTCGCCCCTGCTTGGACCTTTGCCTTGTACCTGGATTATCCCTCTTGCCTTGCCATCAATATACCTGTTTGCCTTTGTCTGACCTATGCCTGTTTTTGACCACGTCTCCTGTGAATAAAGCCTTGCAGATAGATCCGCATGCTTCCTGTGTTCCCTTCGTTACAATATCATTTATGTATGTCATTTTTACACTTTTATTACAGTTTTTGTATAAATATAAATCAATATATAAAATGTACTAAAGATGCTTAAACAAATAAATAAATTTGTACAGTTTGTGGTTACAGAAACAAAATATTAAATTAAATACCTAAGCATATGTTTTAAATAAATAAATAAACACAACAATATAATATATATAATTAATATGTGACATATGAGAATACAAATATGAAGTAAATAATTCATAATAACTAAAACAAAAAAATAAATACATCAATGGAGAAGAAATTAATGAGATATAATATAGCATTTATGTATGCAATTTTTTAAAACATTTGTTACAGTTTTTGTATAAATATAATTAAATATATAAAATATACAAAAATGTTAACAAACAAACAAATAAATAAATAAAGTTGTAAAGTTTGTGGTTATAGAAACAAAATATTAAATTAAATATTTAAGCACACATTTTAAATAACAATATAAATAAACAACAATATAATATTAATATATAACATCTGAGAATAGAACTAAATAAATATCCCTTAATAACTAAAAAAACATAAATGGAGATGAATTTAGTTTTGAGTTATAACATAGCTTTAATGACAATAATTTATGTATGCATGCATTTATATGTTACTAAATTTTATTCTGGCATAAGTATAATTAAATGTATAAAATCTATTAAAAATGCTTAAATAAATCAACAAACTTTACTATTAGAAACGTACTATTAAAACGTACTACTTGTGGTTACTAAAATGTAGAAAACCCAGAAGAAATATAAAGATTACATTTTTGAGCAAGTTTTAAATTAATAAAATAGACATTTTTAAGACCCTCTAGCATTAAACTCTAAAACAATTTCCATTGTAAAAGCCTCTCAGACTCTCATCCTTTCCACACATAAACATATTTCCAGACATAAACATAGCCACACATATATTAGACCTGGTTCAGCGGGGTGCATGCATGGACACACATATTCTATATCCAATAGTCCACCTGCCTGCAACCATTTCTTCTCCTCATCCCAAGCTTGAGGGCAAAATCAATTAAGACGCAGCTGGCAAATGAGAGTCTCTAGCCTACAAACCATCTGAGTGCATCTCCTGGGCTCCAGAGAGGGCAAAGGCAGAGGGCGGCTGGATCATCTCCACTTTGCCTGGAGTATAAAACACCCATGGCTGGATTAATGAGGTTTTAGATGCAGAGGAAACATTCTGGGATTAAAGTGGAGCTCTGGTGTATCAAAGCGACGCAGTGGTAGAACTATCACAGAGTCAAAGTGTCAGCGGACTTCAAGCAGGGTAAGAGTTGGCACGTCTAGACACCCAATCCCAGGAATCACACGAGTCATACTTCTCTCATTAATACATCCGAACAATGTACACCTTCACAGCAGAATGAAGGAGTCAACTTTTTTATGAGCCAATTATTTTAGTGAATAAAAAATATACAGTGCAACCAGTGCATTTTAATTCTCGAGTAAATGATTCTCATGAGCGGTTCTTGTCAGTGAACTAAAAATAAACAGCAAGAATAGTGTAATTTAATTCCCAAACAAATGTCTATTATGAAGCAGTTCTTTTCAGAGAAGCATAAGTACACAAGCACAACCTGTCTGATTCCTGAATGACTGACTCTTATGAGCGGTTCTTTTTAGTGAATCAAAACTAAACAGCATGACCAGTGTAATTCGATTCCCAAACAAATGACTCTTATGAACCAGCCTGAGTGAGTCAAAAACAAACAGCGCAACCAGTGTAGTCTGATTCCTGAATGAATGATTCTTATGCGTGGTCCTTTTTAGTTAATCAAACATAAACAGCACGACCAATGTGACTCAATTCAAAAAACAAATGACTCTTATGAACTAGTTTGAGTGAATCAAAAACACAGCGCAACCAGTGTAGTCCGACTCCTGAATGAATGATTCACATGAGCAGTTCTTTTGAGTGAACCAAACATAAACAGCACGACCAGTCTAATTCAATTCCCAAACAAATGATTCTTATGAATCATTTTGAGTGAATCAAAAACACAGCGCAACCAGTGATTCTTGAAAGAATGATTCTTATGAGCAGTTCTTTTGAGTGAACCAAACACACTTAAAATCAGAGTGCTCTCGCTTACTGAAATCATTTAATTTTACTAATGTACGGAGAGATAGATAGATAGATGAATAAGACTAAAAATATTACTATTAAAACCGTTACTGTTTGTAAAATGTACTTTTAATAAACATATTTAAATGTATTTACAGACCTTTAATATTTTTTTAAGGTCTGTAATATGAAATTCTGCAAAAATTAATATTCAAAAATAAATTATTTAAATCAAAAGGAATTATTAGTAGTTTTGCCGTCTTAATTTAAATTTAAACTATTAAAAGAATCGTTAATGGAACTTTTAAGCAACCAGAATCCAGGAATCAGAATCATTCATTTACTTAAGATTCACATCCTACTAATTTGCAAATCACATCAATTCAATAATTGCTCACCTAAAAT